CCAGCTGTACTCCAACTGTACTCCAGCTGTACTCCAACTGTACTCCACTGTACTCCACCCGTACTCCAGCTGTACTCCAGCTGTACTCCAATTTTTTTTTGGAGTAGAGTGAGTCTCGCTTTTTCCCCCTTGATCAAAGTTCATCATTATTGATATAGTTCGATATTTGTCCAGTTGACAGTGACAATAATATTTAGTTCAAAGGAGGTTGTGAATGTGACAAAATAGAGAAGAACTACTGATATGCCCACACCTACATCCTTAAGTTTATCGAGAAGTCTCAATCATATCTTTTGAGATTAACATTCTGATGACTTTGAAAGATAGGATCTAGCAGATAGATGAATTCTAATTTATCGTCAACGTATTTTTCAATCCTAGAAGGTTGCATCTATTACAAAAGTAATCGTTAGTTTTTTTATATTCATTCTCTTCATGAATTGACGTTAAATTTACTGTTTGAAGAATCATATGTAAGAGACTCAACGATAGCAATAGTGCAAATACATGACTATGCACAATTATTCTTTACATATGATATACATGCACCCGCCGCATGATAAAACGTTATTGAAGCAAAGGTATGAAAGGTGCTTATGTAGAAATGTAAAAAAATAATTTATTTGAATTATATTATTACTTCCATTTCTCTTCTCTTTCCACTGATCATATGTCATCATAATTCTGCCTTTTTGTTCACATAAAAAACATGATATTTCAGTAATTACTTGAATGTCATGTTGAATTGTTAAGCCTCACATTTAACAGTGTGTGAACAAAAATAAAAACAATGTGTTTCTTTTCGATACATTACTCATCAATCGCATGAAATCAGCTTGTAATAGTAAAATATCAAAGAGAAACTTTTACGTCGTCTTGTAATGAAGAAACCTAGATTAAATTTAGAGGCTTAGTTGGATGTATTTACATATACAAAAAATACGATTTAAAATATTTTCGTATCTCTAGTATTTTATTTGTAAAATTATGATTGTTTTAAGAAAGCTTTCTTTCTATGTTATTATTGAAAGGTAACAATCATGTTTCTATGTACACCATTTATGATCATTTAATAGCAGCAATCATCAGTATGAAAAAATAACAAAGAAATGGAGTATTTCTATGGGTCTATATTTTTTATTGCCGTTCAAGTAAGATTAAACAGTAGAAACTAAAATATAAGAAAAAAGTAACACTTGATAATTAAGGTAAACTCAAAAGGTTTATATTAAGATATTTTAAATAAATGAAGCCCTATATAAGTAAGACCCTAGGATCTTTAAAAAAAAAAGCCATTTTTTTTGAAGATAAAAAAAAAGCCATTTTTTTGAAGAAAAAAAAGATGAAATTTGGTGCAAAGCTTGGGTGAATCGCTATGACGTCCTAAAATACTGTCGTCTAAAGGTATATGCGAACAAAAGCCTCAATTTCTCGACGACATATAGGACATAAGCGGAGCGAATGACCGCAAGGAACGCAAGTGGTTAGGTGACCACACGGAATGCAAGCGAGACGCTTTTCTTCCGTCAAGCATAAAACACAACGATCAGATAATGATGAACCATCTGTTTGACTTTGCGAAGCCGGATCTACAGCAGAAGATTTTTGATTTTTCGTTTGTTGATCAACAATTGTTAATTCCGGTTTGTTTACTTCATTTCTAATAGATTCCGATGATGTTGACATTTCAACATCAGTGTCAACTGTGGTATTCACTGAAGTCGATGAACTGGCACCTTGTTCACAAGCACGGATTGCTAAAGTAGGATTAAAATCAATAATCTTTTATTGGCTAGTTTTGTTACAGCTACCTGCTTGTTCTGCTTCGCGAATCTTGTTCATCGCTACACTGGGTACAATAATGTTTTCTTTTTTACCATCAATACGTTCGATTTGTTTTTGAAGAATTATACACGCTACTAGAACATCACAATCATCGGTGAAATCATCATCTAAGGTACCAATAAATACAAAAAGTTTTTTTCCTATTTGATTTGATAGAAGGATTTTTATTTACGCTTTATTCGAAGTTGATCTTCATAACAACGTTTGATAATGGATAGTTTGACCATTCGGTTGAGTAAACATTGTGCAATAAATAAATCAAGTCGAGCAGCAACAAATCTTGACAATGTACTCTCATCTGATATGTTCAGTGAGCCTCTACCCATGTTATTGCTAGTTATTCCGAGTTGTTTACTCGGTTCCTTGATCTTGGCTCGTTCTAAGTATAAAAAGTGCACAAACAATTGTCGTCATTTGGTAGAATAAAGTAACAACAAACCCTGTTGAATTCTTTTCGATTCTTGGATCTTTCGATGCAACTCTGGACCACATAACTGTTTAGCATATGCACAATGTGGAAACCAACGGGCATGTTCAATCGTTGGATTATCGTTTGCTCCCCAGTTTTGTAATGACCCATTACAATAAAAGCATGTCACAATAGTTTTAGTGCCTGTGTAAAAGAAACCAGCTCTTACAAGATCATCAACAGATGGCAAATTTTCTTTCGGCCATGTATCAAAAGACGCATGACGTCTAGGAATTTCAATATAATTTGTATGACATGCTGCGGTGTACACAATTTCATTACACCGAAATGCATCAGTGTTGTTTGAAGTCAATGAATGACTATTATTTGAAAATTCATTGATAATAAGAATGGAACCTGTTGGCTGCCGTTTTAACATTGCTATGACATATGGACACTTTGGTGATAGTGTTTTATGTACTTCACATGGATCGTCCGTGTGTGGAGTCCATTGCTGAAAAATACAATTGCAATACAAACAAATGACCCGATCACCAACATTGCAACCAAAAAATCCGGCTTCAATCATTTGTGCAGATGAAGGTGATGTTCGATGTGGCCAATGTGAAAATGTTCGTTTGCGTATTTGCTTTAGAGTATCGATTTCGACAAGTCGACACGGCTCAGAAATCTGTTGTGTTGCTTCTATTTTTTGACGTTTAGACGGTTTTTCATCATCTGTTGATGCTGAAGTCGTTGAAAGTAGATTCATCGTTGATGATACAGACATAATTTGATCGGGAAGAACAGAACGAACAAAATCACATGTTGGACTTCGTTGTGCATGAATAGTGAATGGTTTCATATCCAATGTCCATCCAGATACTTCTAGTCCACATGCATCACACCTGACTGTGTCCCCATTGTTGATATAGTAAAATCCAGCTGAAAGCATCGTTATTGTAGAATGTACTCCTGATTTTTTCGACAAAGCTCGACATGAATCGAGAACTTTACGAAGGATATCTCTCTTTTGAGGGGGTAGATACTGTTCTGGATGAAATCCGATCTTCTGTGATAATACATCAGAAGATATCGGTTTCATTTTGGATGGAACAGTGATCTTGGATTGTCTTACATTGTTTAATCCTGACGGTTGACGATTTAAGGTTTTATTCTGCTTAGTATCCAATGTGATTCTATAAGAGAGAAACAAAACTATTTATTATGGTATTGTTGATAACGAATACTGTTTAATCTGTTTATCATTTTAGCTGTGAGCCTTCTCTTACGTTCTTCCTATTTGTTTATTCAATTATATTAGGTTGGTACATAATTTTGAAAATCTCTCTAACTTCTCCAGCACATTTTCTAAATCTTGCTCTTGAGAGAAAAGTTATTCATGTCACTTAAAATCGATCTTTCTAAATATCTGACTAGAAAGTTCTTTGTTCGATTCAAGTAGGGCACTTTTCACTGATTGTTTTATTTTTACAACACATCTGAAAAAAATACATTTGACCTTTCCGATTGAGCAGTGTGTCAACTATACAATGAGAAAATGATAAAGGATATGAGCGCTTCAAATATAGATATAGACGATGAAATGTCCACGCCAATAAACAAGATATGCGAAAGCTAATAAGGGTGATGCAAGCGAAAGGAAAAATTCAGGTGACAAGCAGAAATACAAAAGGGAAAGTCCCATATATGATGACGTAGAGAACAGAGAGGAAAAAACCCATTGCAGAAAAAGATAAAGTGGGATAAACATTACAGGATGGAACTTAGCTATAATATTTCTTCAAGAATAATGCTTAAGTTTTGAAAATTTACCAAAAAATAAAAACATAAAGTTCAAAGTATCACGAAAAAATATTTTTTTTAGGTAAGGTATAAGCCGACATATATGTATATACATAAAGAATACTGGCTTCCGTCTTAAGTTGCCTAGTAGTTAAATCAGCGCATATATAAATTTAAAATGAATTTTACTCGACAGACTAATGTTGACATTAAAAAGTTCAGAGAGATTAAATAATAAGGTTAAATTTTCATAAAGAAAATAGACATCTTCAATATATACAATAAAAAGCATAAAAGTCATTTTGCTGCACAAGAAAAATGTATGGCACAATTATGACAATATTGACATCATTTTCAATTGCTTTCATAAATGATTCCAAATCAGCATCACTATATTTCTTAGGGTCTTTTTTTACAAATTTGTGTCATATTTATTAAGATTTCTCCAATACGCAGAACAAGCATTTAGATATACATATATATATGAATATATTATACGAAAATCGATCTACACTCGGCGAGTGAAACATGCAGAACAAAAGAATAACCTTCATTATTCATTTTCTCTCTATGTTGGTGACAAAACTGATGTGAAATATAGAGAAAAGACAAGAAATTGAATGATACTCAGTGAATCATAGACATGTTTGCATATATTACGAACAAATCAAAGCAATAAAGAAAAATTTATGCATCTATCACTCATCATAAATTGTAGACAAACTATTGTGACAATAGAAGCCTGGGAATGTTTTTTAAACATCAACTAGGTACTTCACTATTTTAGCATACCAATCGTAATAAATTTTGAATCTAGTTTGACAGTCACTATGAACATAAAAGTATAACATTGAATTTACAATGTATTTTAGTCATACTCACATTTTCTTTACATATAAAGATAAAGTAGAGCACGACCAATAACTTTTGTTAAAAACATATCAAGACTTGATAAATTACTGGAGAAGTTAGAAAGATTTTTGAAGTTATTTTCGCAGAATTTGCTGAAGTGATCCGAATTCAGATCACTTTGATAAGGCGTTTAGTAGTTTTGTGAAAAAAAGGAATTACTCAAAATATAAATTACTTCAAAAGGTCTTTACATAGTTCAATAGAGAACACTTGAGACTATCTGCGGTTAAAACAAAATCTTTTTTTTTTCGAGACAAAATGACCGAAAAAACGATTCACTGATGTCCTTTCTGATCATGTCATTTATTCCAACTCACTATAGCTGATTCACTTACAAAGAGCATTTTTTCATCACACCATTTGATTCAAGATAACATATGTGAACCCGTTTTTCTCCGATTTTTTTTTTTCATGTAACATTACTTGGAAAAAACCCAGCAACAAAAACAACCTATTTGCATCGACAAGAGCAGTGTAAGGAAGAAGAAAAAAAATTTTTGTTGTTGTTGTTGTTGTTGTTGTTGTTTTGAGTTGGAAATAATTAACCTTCGAAATATTAATAAGATTGTCTGTCCCTGTGAAGGCATAGATGAAATAGAACTGATAGACAAAAGAAAAGTCATTGAAAATCGAATGAATTTAAGTAAAAAATGTGCTATATATTAGATGACTAATATAAATCAACCCGACTCTCCTTCTTAAACAATGTATGATTCATCCTATGAATGAAATACGACACTAAAATCACAGAATCATCGAAGATATTTTCTTCGTTAAGGATACTATTTCCATTGATATTCATTTTTATCTCATCCTATATAGTCTAGAAGTACAAAACATCCATTGAATCAGCAAAGATAATTGTACAAAAGAATAAGAATGGAATCGAAGGAAAAAATTCAGTGAATTATAATATATCTCAACACGATTGTGTATAGTAATAACATGCGCTGAAAATTTTTCTCATCATATTCATGAAAAAAAGATATACAATAAAATTGTATCACACTTAACAATCTTGAATTCTGCTTTTTTTGTCTCGATTAAAAAAAACTCATTACGAAGAAAATTGCCACAGAAACTATACATCAATGTATGTTTTTTTTTTGCTTTCTGTCTCACTGTAAATGGAGAAAAATAAATACAGGTGATTACTTTTCTCTTTCATGCACTTATCTATTACAAATAGTCTGATGTTAAGTGTCTTAATGTAGTTTTATAAGAAACTTGGCTCATGAAATCGAAGGTGTAGTAGAAAAATGAAGAACACTTTTTATTTTTGTTTCTAAAAGCGCTTTACATATTGTTACCAGCCAAATAAACACTTAGTATATAGATATCGACGATATTGTTTTTACCGATTTCAATTTCGCTGAATTGATTCATAGTCGAAAAGACAAGCCTGAATAAAATATGATCGATTCTATAGATAATATATTTTTTTTTTATAACTAATTAGTTCATTATCAAATCTGGTCATAAATATTCCTGTTAAAAGATCCTAGAGCATGAGTCCATGAAAAATCATTCTTATCTACAAATACTGACCTTATTCGTTTGTTCGCACATTCGGTGAAATATTTACAATTGACTGGTGGTAGTGCTTACGACTTTTAAGTAGTTTCTTGGTAGCTATTACAGGGATTTATTTTTTTACGAATGTCCTTACAAAATGTGTCTAAACAAAATGTCCTGCTAGTTAAAAATGTAATAGAATTAGAATTGATGATAATAGATGATGTGGACTTTATTATATATTCTGCATTCTTTTCCCCTAGAGCCCGTATTTCTTATTATGATCCTATTAAAAATTGAGAAACTAAATTCTGATGAAAACAAAATATGTTTCATTAAAATTCAACAATAAGCTTAAAAAAATGTCAATACGATAAGTGCTAAATGTCAAATTCATGTAAGTCTATTATGTTAGTTATTGATGGTTACACTTTCCAGTTAAAATTCAAATAAAAGTGTCAAATTAATTTAGGCTTTATGAGCAGTATCAAGTTCCCACAATATCTAAGGATACGGTTCACACCAACCGATCGATTAAGTCAAGTGTCAATATTTTATCATTTTATTGTATTGAGTAAATATTCTGTTTGTTCTTTTTCATAATGTATACAGTAAAACTTATTCGAAATAAATTCGTGATTTCATACTATATTATTTACAAATTTAGTCTATATATTTCTTGGAATCATAAGAACCTGTAAAACCTTATAAAGAGAGGTCACTAACAACAAATTCATAATGTTTTTGATGCAAAGGGACTGCTTATGTTCCTGTTTACATAACAGTTTAATGATGCTTCGGAAAATATTCAAATTTTTATTTCACAAGAAACAAGTTCTACTAATTGAAGATTAGGATCTGGATGTATTCTAAGTTACTAATCAAACAAAATATATCACTCGAATTTTATCGACGTGCAAAACCTAGAAAATAAAATAATTTTAAAGTCTTTTCAAAAATAAATTTTAGAAATTTTTTGTATCGTTTCTATGAAAGATCCTATCAACCAGTGGCGTAGTCAACTGTCAACAAAACAATATCAATAATTTTATAATACGATGCAATGCGATTCGATTAGCATTGAGTTATATTTACTATAAGAAACGAAAGTATTTCAACTGTAACTGTTTTACCTAAGCAGATAATTTAAACCAACGGTCATGCAAAAAAAATTCTGATGTTCTCTTCTTTATTGAAGATAAGAGTGCATTAGATGATTTATCGATATTTCAAATGTCTTATGTGTTTGCGTTTGAATACGTTATTCTTTTCGCGTACGTTCATGGAAAGGTCACTAGAAAAAATATCACAAATTATTGACAAAATTCTTGAAAAATGTAGCTACTATTTTTTCAACCAAGACTTTGTTCATTATATAGATCCTAATGAGCTTTAAATACCCTGAAAAGAGTTCGAACATTTAGCTTATAGCGACAAAGATATGGTGTTATTACAGTATTTTTAAATGAATGCCATAATCCAGAAAAACGGATTCTCAAATTTTGACTTGGAACTTTGCGTAGAGACAGACCTTAACGAAAATAATTTTTATGTCAATGCTTTAGATTTTGTTGCTGCTTCTAATTTAAAATACAACTATTATAATAGCTTGGTTACATCCCTTTTACAGACTGATAGATTTGATGTTTTTATTTCAAGATAGAAGCAAATTAAAAGACTTGAAACTTTCACAATAATTTATATTAGTTAAGATCTTTCTCT